AATATGCAATTTCGAACATTTGAAGTGCAGTTACTTAGGACAAAAAGCCATGTTTTCTCACTAGTTTTCGAGTATTTATGTGTAAAACACCCAGAAATGTCACGGAAATTTACATGATCTACATTTTGTCCGGATACTTTTGGCAGGCGAGTGTATATATTTTTTAAATGTATAGCTTGCTTAATATTAATATAGCATTTCTGAATTAATTTATTATGTTCATAACTAAATCTTATTATTAACACTTATAAAAGATTACTCAAATCCCGTAACACTGCTTTTTTCCTTACTTGGGATGGATTGTATGATTTTTGGTTTTGATCTACTATTTTTAATAATAAATAATAAATTTGTTGTTTGCCTATATTTGTAAATAAACAGTCGTACGGGAAAATAAGACGTGCTCATTATACATGAGCGATCGAACGATTGAACGAACGAATGATCGAACAGATCGAGTGAGCATTGAGCTGATAAAAAAATCAATCTTTATTAAACACATTTTTTTGGGAAGCATGAGATGAAAAACATGAGACGTTTCTTATGATCTAGTTAAAAATTTTTTTTTTTACTCTTTGAAATGATTGAAGTTACACATATCGTTATTATTATTTATTTTTATTTATTTTAAATTTAGGTAAAATCTAAATAATGTGGATGTCCATGCTTATTTTCATCAAAATCACGTGCGCGTGAGCAATTGTTCACGCCGATCACTTTAACAAGAAAAAAAAATTGAATGTGTCTCAATACTTTGATACAATACATAATATATTAATATTAATATGTCTTGCAATTCTAATAGATGTAAACTCAAGGCAAATTTACTACAAACCCAAAACAGTATATGCAATATCAAAATCAGAATAAGTATATGCATGTCATGGAAGGGGGATATATAACTATCAAATATGGAAGACATAAAGGCGATATTTGATTATGGTGAGGTATGTAGGTAAATAATCTCAATTCAAATATTCTCAGCATGTAGTGGAAAATTATCGGATATGTGTAATAATTAATTAGCTTATAGTTCATTAATACAGGAAAAAATAAAAAACTCAGTATGAGCAAAACTTTATTGCTTTGCAGATATAATCTATAATTAATGTTAAGGAAGAACCTGTTGGTCTATTATTTTGAAAAAATTACCAGTTGCATTTAGTGATTGAGAACTCATTTGGATATTTGTAAATTCTTTGTTGTGCCAGAAATGGATAAAATTAAGCCCCTTATCCTGAAACTTATTGCAAGCCAATATGGATCTGTTACAACAGCATCCTCATGAGAAAAATGCATGATCCAAACTTCCAGAGGGCAAAGTTGTTCAGCAAACTTAAATACCTGTTCAAAATGATTATCTAATTTTGGCTGGGATGCTGTTGCCAAAAGTTCAAGAACAGCTACAGGATGAAGGCACCATTCTTATTTATCATAAGATCACAATAAAAGTGATGGTAGTCCCCATCTTCACAAACTTGTCCTAGGTGCCACTGTTCAGTAATTTCAAACCATATATATTTACAAGCCAATTATGCAGGATTCAGTACATCTTTGCATTGTAAACACTCTCTCTAGGGACATGTACGTTAGATTTAGAATCCACTTGTAAATTATTTGAACTTTTGTAAGAGTGAGAGGATCCTTGTGTAATGGTATTCTTATCAAAAGTTCGCACAATAGACTTCGCTACCTCAAGAACATTTATTGCTGAACTATTGACTTGTAAAGGTACATCTTTGTTGGGAAAAAAGCAACTTATCTCTGGAATTGTAGATTCCCTTTTCTTCAGTCTTTGATTTTCTTCTGTTACAGATGATGATGATGACAATGATGACAATGATGACTTTTTATTTTTGTTGGCTTTTTCCCATAATTTATTTACTTTATCAACATCTACCTATATAAAAAACAAAATCAAGTGAGAAATATTTCCCAGTAAGCATAATTAGACAAAAAATAAGATTAAGATAGCTGGGCTGGATGCAGGAATATACCAACAGTTAAGTTTTTTTGTGTTATAAAGGAAGATACATAACCAATCCCTTCTCTAGAATCAGTAGACCTTTATCAAAAACTTATATTGGTAGATCCCATGATGTCTACTAGAGCAAATCCAATAAACGCATCCAATTCAGAACTTGTAAGTACCCCACCCCATTAAAATGAATCCAATAGGTACAAGAACCTGACTAAAAGTCCCATCTATCTAAATTTACCACCCTTAATATGCTTACCTTTTTGTTTTCTATAATAATAAGTTTTTCAGCAATTTCTTGTAATATTAATATATTTGAATTATTACTGATATTATGTAAAATGCTAGATGGGCCTTATCCTTTTCAGTATGTTCATAATTATCAATGACCAAAGGAATATAATGCTGGAGTGACCACTTTTCATAAGGGAAACATTTGAAACGCTGTGACAAGTGGATGAGTTTTTTCAATGTGGGAAGCAGAAACAAGGACATAATAATTATGTATTAGAAGTTGTATGTTGCAAAAATACAAAAAACAGTTAACAAAAATATGTACCTTTGAGATAAAGTGGAAGAATGCATGTATTATTAATGATCAGGTGGTTGTGTGAACCTTTAGATTTACTAATTAAATTACAATTCCGCACTTTCTTGCGTAATGTAAATCTTTTTAGCTTACTAAGAAAAAGTTATTTTATTATATTAGTTATGGAGTTATTTAGAAATCCTGTCAAGGACAAATGAAACATCAAGCATTCTATACAACACATTTCTAAAGCTGTACCAGTATGTTTCAAATATTATTGTTATGCTGTGTTTTTTTTTTTAATCATTAAAATTTTGTTTTGACACTCCAGAGACAGCCATCAATTATTTCTAAAACTGCCAAACAGGGAACTGCAATGTCTGAAGGTGATTGTAGATGGAGTGACAATCCCAGTGAGCACAGTATGGGTAGGGTTTGTATTCATGAATACCATGAATACCGTTAAGGGGGTTACACACTAATAAAACAGCAAAAAATCCCTTAAAAACACTTGATTTTAATAGTGTGTAACCCTGTGTGACTTCCTTACGGTATCCATGAATACAAACCCTAAGTATGGGACAGCCTTTGTCTCTTTTATGTGATCAACTTCATGCAACTTCCACGATCTCTGAGATTCCTCGAAGAGCAAATGCAATTTCTTTTTCAACATTTAAATCAGTTGACAAAATGGATAATGCTTTTGGAGACAAAATCCGTGAACCGTCCATCAGCAATAAATGTGATGTGGAAGACAAAATGCCAGAAAATCATCAAGATCTCATTTTGAGCAACACTGATAGGCACTGAGGAAATCAAAAAATATTTAGCAGGTATGCAACAGGAGACCAACTTACAGAACCAGTGTATCTTTCCCCAAGACAAGAATGGGAATTTGGCCAAGACTTTAACAGATTGGGAAGTGGGGAATTGCACCAAGACCAATCCTTGGCTTCATCTAGCCTCCTGGAGACACAACCTACCTCTCAGACTTTGTACAATCTCAACACTAAGGTTTCTGGTCCAAACTGTTTTCTCAAAGCCCCAACTAGTTTGGGCAATTTGGGCTTTCTATAAGCATGAACATTAAAAAACTATATGAATCAACTTGTTTTAACTTAAACAACTTTAAAATAATTTCACCCAATTTCGGCTAATAACAAAAAGTAGCTTGGGCTTATAAAAAAATAATTTTTGCCCAAAGTATTTGGGCAATTTCAGCTACTAATAGAAGCAGTGACCAGAAACCTTACTCAACACAGACACAAAAAGAGATATTACCTTGCAAGAATTGCCACCAGATTATGAAATGAAATATTCACAAGACGTGCCCTCACTTCTTCATCTATTAATGAGTATTTATCCATTTGATGAGACAAACAATGATGTCTTATATTAGTGTTCCATGTTGCAATCCAAAAAAGGAAACAAAATGGTCATAAAGGTGGTTGCAACCAGCGGTTGCATTCATTTTTATATGATGCAAAGATGGTAGCAACCATCATCAAAAGTTGCAGCTGGTATCCTTATCTTGTATGATGATGAGATCAATGACTTTAACGAACTTTATGGTATTACTGGTGTCTGCCCAGTGCTTGCAAGTAGTGATTCTTTAGCATTTTGGCTAGAAGACTCTAATGGTGTTATCTATATATGGTCTCACATGAAAAGTAGAATGATATATGGGAGACGCGATATAAGGGAAGCTTTGGTAAACTATCTCTTCCATCATGAAGATCTTTGCCATGTTGAGGAGTATACTCATAATTTGGTACCAGTGAAGGAATTTGATTGTGAAATTAATGAACAGGTAAAAAAGGCTGAATTAGTGACGTTAGCCAGCTAATAATCTGCATGCATAATTTCTAAATTTGGTAGTAGATTTCTGCATTACTTTCTTGTTATAGAAATAAAATTACCAATTTAGGTAGTAAACGGCTTAGCCGGCTAAGGATTTTTAAATGGCTAACATCACTATGCTGAATATATTCAGATGGTGTTAACTAAGAAATCACTAAAACCATTAAAGGGAGAGTCAAAAAAAGGTGGAAAAAAAAAAGAACAAAAATAAACATTAATGTAGAAATAATTACTGCTTATTTGATTTATTTTACTATTATTCTATATTCATTTATCTTATCATTGTAATTTGCTTTATTTGATTTATTTTACTATTATTCTATATTCATTTATCTTATCATTGTAATTTGCTTTATTTAATAATTTTACAAAGTATTTTCTGATTAGTTTATGCACAAGAAATGTATTTGAAAAATAATAAAGGCATGTGAATTTAACTGCAAATTTATTTAAAATTATGAGTACATACATATTTACTCTATTATTCCAACACACATTACACACCCCACACCACACGAAAAAACAATGAAGTATGTAATTATATAATAAATCAGCCACCAGGGTCATCATCTTTGTCAATATAGGGAAAATAAAAATATGGATATTCTAGAAATTTGTACTCTTTTTAATCTTCCAGCTTCATGTGGAGGGCTTATGTCACTCGTTTTCCTCAATCTTTTTGAAAACTGTTCATTCTGTAAATTTACAATAACTCCATTCTGAGATCATAGATCTTTTTATATAAGTATCATAATATGACGAATGTATATTTCAGAAATCACTTTAACATAGTTAAAAGAATGCTCACTTGCAAAATCAATAGGGTACAAACAAATTCTTCTACTTCCTCAACTGATTCTTTACCCAAAGGTATTTTTGCTTTAACAAATGGGAGATGATACTTTATCTAAAGCTCACCAATTTACTTTGAATTTTCCTCATATCTTTTAATGATACTAGTTCATTTCTAATAAATCACATCTATAAAAAAATAGTGATGGGTTAATAAAATTCAGAAAATCAATTATTTTTTGCACAAAATACCCATCCTAATCAGAAATATCCAGCATTATTGTCTTAAAATCATCACAATAAGTGCAATGAAAGAGATTCTCACTGACAATATGTCACTTTTTCAATCGCATTACACTAGATGTCATATTCATCATTTTATTTACTCTCTGTTATGCCAAGATCAAAGTGGCATAATAATAATAATAAATTACCTGGTTAATATTTTGCAATGATTTAAGATGCTGTTGTGTTCATTCTTCATCAGTAATTTTATTTTCCATTTCTTTTAATATTAAGGTTTTCATAAGGTATTCAAAATAATAATCTTCTGTTTGAATTTTAAAACAATTCCATTGTTGTGTAATTACATTAGAAGTGGTAATTTTATTCAGAGAAGCAGTTTTTAAAAAGTTGTATAATGGAGCAAAGATTTCAGCTGATGGGATTGTTGAGCTAGACATGTTTGCATAGTTAATTTGTGATATGAAAAATAATGTTAAATTTGTTGATATGTTGAGATGGTGCAAGAGATAAAAATCACTATAAAAGCAATGATATACCACCCTTTTTAAACGCTTTCCTCCTCTAGATCTAAAGAACAAATACAAATGTATTTACACCAAGAATTCCTCTACAAGGAAAAAGTATGTATATACAACGAAAATAAAAAGGAATTTAGTTATTTAGAACAGCAACTAGTAGTATTAAAAAGTTTAAATAATTCAAGTAACCCAGGAAAAGGCTTTTTTGATGAGGTTGGTAATTGTCATTTAAAACAATACTGTATTATATAATACTAATTGATTTTATATTTAATTACAGGTAATGAATTATTGTAAAATTAAATCGGAGTTAATTGTTCAGTGCTTAGGTATAATTGACGATCCATCTATTAATGAGAGACATGTTAATCAATTTCATATAAAATCTTGGGGATAATTGTTATTAATAAAATAAGAAAATTCCCAAATCACACCATCCTCAGATGTTAACTCTCATGTATACACAAAAAGTATAAAGAATAGCCTTAGAATTCTTTCAAGATTGTTGAATACTACTTTAAAATTCTTTTGCAGTTATTTTATTGACTTGACTTATAACAAAATGTGGTTCATTTGGTTGAATACTTGATAGTGTTGGCTGAAAATTAAAAAATTCCAAATTTTATATGTTATGAACTCAGCTTCCTACATATAAACATTTTCAAGAAACATTCCAAGCCCTTTAATATTTTGATACAATAATCTATAAAATTTACTTTATACATACATAAAAAGAATAAAGTTTGTAATACCAAAACATCGTGCCTTATTATTTGTTAAACATTGT